CTTTGGGTTCTGTACTTAAATAGTTAATGCCTTTCGCTATTTGTTTGTGTTGAATTAGTTAGTGTAGTTAGCTAATGAGATTGTTTTGTAATAGTTAGTTAACTAGGATTAGTTAATTAGCTTCGTTTTGTAATAATTAGTTTAATTAGCTTAGATTAGCTAGTTAGCTTCTTATTCGGACCCTCCATCGAGAGGGCCAACTGTTGTAATAAGCGTGTGTGTGTGTGATGCATGTCTTCCAACCCCCATTTCTTTCTCCCTTTTACTTAACCGCTTACGATGGTTAGTCTTAGGGCATATTTCGATTAGCATCCTTATACTTCGCATGTGTGCATTCATTCATCTGTATTGCATGCACCGGGCTTGGCGCATCATACTAACTACATTGTATTTCAATACATTTACTTGAATACGTGTTCAACATCATGTTATCAAGTTGCATTTCACAGGCCATCTTAGGATAGCCGAGCCTATTCTAGTTGCATTTTTGCATGTGTTGCATTAGTCATCTTAACATGAACTAGGATCATGTATGATTTCTAACTAGTTCTCTGTTTTGGCTTGGAGTACACTGTGAGTGTTTACGCTTTAGCATACTGCATGTGTGTTATTGATTGCCATGTTAGCATGCTTGCCATGAGGCTAACTGCTTAAGTGATTAACTGTCTGAATGCCTGTGGGTGAAGGTTGGATTGCTTGAATTGGAACAATTCATCAAAATCCGCATCTTAGCCTACTTGCGAGTAGCAACTTCAAACCGTTTTCAAACAAACGAATATGCAATGTTTTGTTCCAACTTAGGCGATCTAGTCTATACTTGTATGTTGTGCGCATCACATAGTAATTCTAGTTTAATAACCAGAATAAGAACACATGTGTTTTCAAAAACAAAATATCATGTTAGTAAAGGCCGATCTTTGATCGGGCGAGCGGGGGTGCTCATTGCATGACCTTCCCCTCTCGTACCCAACTTCCCGAGCTGAGGCAACTTTGGTGATGGCGGACACGTGGCCTTAGGCACGAGTCAGGGTTTCCTAAATTTCCCCAAATTAAAACATTTAGGTGGCGACTCTGTATCTGGTAAAGCAGTCCATGTTTGGCACTTCTTTATAAAGATCAGTTTTCCAAAATGATTTGCCGGATTTGGACTCTTTGGTGATTTATTAGTCTTACATTGCACTTTGTGAGATTAGATTCAGAACCGTGACATGAGTACGAACTTGTAGTAGCTAAGAACAAACGAATTCACGCCCTCGCGCGCAGAGCAGGGAGTTCTCGGGCGGTCTACAATTAGCTATAACTAATCAATTTACAACAAATGCATAATTAAATGCTAATTTAAACTAATTAACTAGCTAACTAGTCCCGGGAAGCGAGGGAGGCCCATGCATGCTCGTTTCCACCCGAAGAATATCAGGTGTCTGCCCTCTAAAGCCTCTGTTTTCACAACCCTTGCACTGTTTCCTTCTCCAAATCAACTTTGCCATGCTTCACAAGCACACTGCCCAAAGTTCACTGGTGGTCGGCAGGCCAGAATTGGTGGTCGGCCAGCCACCATTGAGGGGTTGCCGTCCAACAGTGATGGCCGGCCGGCCATTGATGACTCATTTTTTTTGGTGCAACAGAGAGCAAATACGGCAAAGAGAGGGTATTCTCATAGGTTGTTTGTACTGTGTATCTCTCCTTATCATCAAAACATCTCAAAGAAGTGACACTCTTGGTCCTTCAACCATCAGTCAAGCAATTTCATTGCATGATGGCTAAGGAACCAAGATGTACAAGTTAATAAATGCATAAATAAGACCAAAAAGACCATCACCCTATCATGCATGATCAAGGGCAATGGAGACCTTGGAAACTTGACACATTTCATCACTTTGAGTATGAAATACCCCAATTTTCCTTGTGTTCAATTAACGTCCGATTGAACACATCAAAACATAACCAAATCTTATCTTGCACAATTTTAGTTTCCATTTTGTTTACCCCTTTTAACTTACCAACCATTTTTTAACCAATTAAGTCCATTGGTGAGAAGTCCTCTAAAGGGAAGGAAGTGTCAAATAAGGGGTAGTTTAAGGCAAGAGAGAGATGTCATGCCATTGGTAATGAACCCTCAAAAAAGGATTAAACCATTAAGCAATGAACCTCAATCTCAAGCTTAAACTATCCTAAGGTTGAAACAACCCTCATAGCAATTAAAGAGTGAATAAATGAGGGAGATTGCAGAGATTATGAGTGCTGAAATGAAGTAAGAAAAACACTAAAACATGCAATCGACTCAAACAAGTGGTGTTTAAAGGTCTAAAATACCAAGCTTGTAAGAACTATTACACTAGAGGCATGCAAAACAAGACTCAGGCAATAAACAACCAAAAACATAGTTAAAATAGTCTAAAATAGAATCTAAAACATACTGGAATTAAACTACAAAAGGCTAGAAAATTAAGTTAACACATGGTGCTAACTAGGCTAGCAATCAAGACACAAGGAGGGGAGGCTAACCTCTCTAATTTTGGACTTCAAAACATGATTTTTCTCACTGAAAATATTCTAAAATTCAGTGCTAAATTCCCAAGAAAAGATAGTTTGAAGTTAGGAAACAAAGGTGAAAAAGCCTTAAAAGCAAGGAATAAAGAAGGGTGAGATATCCCCCTAACCTTAAATGGCTTAAAACACCAATTTTTGCCCACAAAAGCAGAATTTTTTATGGCCCAAGAACAGCCCAAAAATTGTGGAAAGAGATAGAAAAACAAGCATACAAAGCAAGCTTAAAAGACAAGTATTAGACCTCTTGAAGAAAAGAACAATTCTAAGCACTAACTCAAGCTAAAACCACCTTCAAGAGCTCCAAGATGGCTTCAAGGAACCTCAGCTCAAAAATGATCAACTTTGGTTAAGGAAATATATGCAAAAGTGTAGTGTAACTAGGCAAGTGTGTACAAATTTGCAAGAGAGAGAAAGAAATGTAGAGAGAGAGAGATTTTTGTTCCAAAATTTCTAACCTTTAAAAATGGGGGAGGAGATCCCATATATATATATATAAACAAGCATTTGGCTGAGAAAATCCCATCTATACACGTGTATGGAGAAGAGACCAATTGTGCCAACAGTTGGAACAGCTGTCAACAAAATATCTGGAAAAAGACACTGGTGGCCAGCAACCTGAATTGGTGGCCAGCAGTCACCAGGGGTTGCAAGCTTGAAGGTTTTGGACCAAAACAGGGCACATAATGGATAGGGTTTGAAGGCTCTAAGATAGGGCATTCCACTGAGGACTTCGGGCCCTAAAACAAGCACAAATAGTCACAATCATCGAGTGCATGAACAATGACGTCCAAGTCTTGGGGACAGTAAAAAATGGGGTGTCTACAATATGATTTTGTTTTTGTTGTTTTATAGGTGTAACCTATGTTATTTGGTTTGAGAGGTAGACATTTGAAGGTGTTTGCTATTTAGATTTTGATCAAGAACACCATTTTCGTATTGGTATGGAGTGCTCCAAAGGGACAACACCATTTTGTTGTTCCTTTTATTTTGAAGTTGTGTCTATAATAAAGGGGATCCTCTTGCTCAAATGCATGCTATCTATTCATTTTTTGTGTGTCATGGCGAAACAAAATTTTCGGTATACTTGATTCTCAATATTCCTAACTTAAGAGAGAATGATAAATGAAAATTATTCAAACAAAACATTATTTACGCCGTGCCTTTAGGAATGGGCATACACTAGTATATATATATATAGAATGATATGGTTATTGCATTGGGAGTTTATCATTTTAAAATAAAGAACTCACCAAGATGATTATAAATTATGAAAATGTTACTACTACATCATGCCCGGTCTTGAGTTGGTGGGAGCTCTAGCCAAAATTTTAAAATAAGACCATTTGAATAAAATTCTAATTTTCTATTTTTGTATTTTGTTGACAAAATAGTGATTACTTATATTTTTTTTTTTATTTGGTGATACCCACACAAATTCTCAATTTGCATGTGTAGAGGGTTTTTCCCGCATGTGCAGAGCCTTCACCGTATGTGCGGTGACAATTTCTTGCATGTGTGGAGCCTTCACCACACGTGCGGCAACATTTCTCCCACGTGCGAACCAATCTCGTTTTGCATGCATGACTTTATAAACCTGTTTTGAGGCCTGCAAGGTATAAAAAGAAAAAAGGAAAAGATGGAGAAGGGGGCTGATATTTTTCCAAAGAAAAAGAGAAGCTAGGGCTTGGAGAGAAGGAAAAGCTTGGAGCTTCAAGGATGTCTTCCATGGAGGCTTCTCTCTCTACCACTTTCCACTCCTCCATGAGTGGCTAGTCTTTCACTTTCTAGGGCTGTAATGAATCCCTAGCCATGTAAAGAAATTTTTCTTAGGCTTTGATTGTGTAACGGTTTGAACAAATGTATGGATGTTTTAGAAGTTTATAATATATATATATATATATATATTTTATCTCTTCAAGTATTTTACTTTCTGTGATTGTTAAATGTTTTCTATACGTTCATTTTCTTTGTGTTTGTGTTCAAAGTATGAGACGAGTCATGCTACGAGAGACGAGTCATGTTGCTGTCATAGTCTAGAGTGAATGACTTGCACTACTTGAGATGATTTGTGCCTGTACGTTGAATGCGACAATCCCCTTGATCAATGTTTCAAACTTGTAATTGTGAAATATTACATTTACTTAAATCAAGAATGAAGGATTGTTACTAACCTTTTCAAAAGTATCTTAAACTCTTTGTCTTTTCTTTCTATATTTTTCTCCAAGAGGAGAGGGAGATGGTGGTTCCCCAATTCTTCGATCTCCCTTTTTTCTTCATCTTTTCGATCCTCCATCAAATCTAATGTTTACTTCACCAATCTGACCATTACTGCCTTACCTTCTCCACCCTTGAGCCAAAAACTTTAAAGTCTAACTTAAGATCTTCTCACAGTCCAAAAATCAATGATGGATAATGTGCTCAACCTCAATGTTCTCTCTTGACTAGCGAAGATGGGGCTTTTAGATTCCAAGGTGAAGGTTGTTGAGTAGTGGAGTTTTAGATGAGTTTGGTAACAACTTGGATCTGATTTTTTTGGGTTTGATTTTATTAATTTTTAGTTTGTTAATGGAATAATCCTTCTTGTGTAAATGCTTGTTTCCCTTCCATGTGAAGGCTTTTTCCCCTCATCTATGGAGGCTTAAATCTCATATTTTGAGATCTTGTGATATCGCAGTACCAGATTGATCCGATCTTTTATCAATTTTACAAAGAAGATTTTCTTCCCGGTCAAAAAAATAAAATAAAATAAAAATTCAAGAATGAAGAAACCATTACAACTCTTAAAAAGTATCACATCTAAATCTTTTCAAAAGTATCATATCTAAACCTTAAAACTCTTTTTCTTTTCTTTCTATATTTTCTCCAAGGGGAGAAGGAGAAACCATCGCAATAACTCAAAAATATATAATTGTAATACTTTATAATTTAACAAAATCCATTTAAAACACAAAAAACATCATCATCCAATCTACCGCTACCATTCACTAACCACCTCAACTATCATCGATCTATACTTCATCGTTGTTAATTTATACTCTACCATATTTGATCTACACTCTATTTTCATGGATCTACCGCTACAATTCACCAACCTCCTTTACCATCGCCGATCTTCATTCCCATCATTCAGATCTAGCTATTTATAGCATTGTATCTTGGATATCGATCTTGTATTGTAACCATGTTTTCCGTCAAGAAGCAGCCATTGCATGGTTGCCAAAGCTTTTAATAGTGAGATCAGATCTCTCTCTCTCTCTCTCTCTCTCTCTCTCTCTAGAACAAGAACTACTGTTATGATCTACACCAACATTTTAGAAGTTTTTCACATGAATATATGGAAAAAGAGGTGTGACGCTACTTGTGTGAATTATGGTATGAGACGTACCAGATAATGTTTTAAATTTTAAATATTGAAATTATTTTTTAGAAGTTAGATGTTAAAATTGATCTTTATAAGCTAATACCATTTATGCATCTAGTAGAAATGGATTTAATTGTTGAATTAACTTATAAGTTAATACCATGTTTACATCTGTTAGAAATTCGATTTAATTGTTGAATTAACTTATTTAGGAGTTGAATTTTAAGCTTAGAGGCTTAAACTATTTATTATGAGCTATAATTTAGTTGCTGAAAAGTAAGAGAGAGAGAGAGAGAGAGAGAGAGAGAGGTTTTCTTCAAAGAGTATATTCTTTACTGTAATATGATTTAACAATAATTATTACTTCTTCCTGCCACTTCTTGTTAGAGGGCCCATTTCTTCTTTTTTTTTTCTTCTTTTTTTTGTCTTATTTTATGTTTTTTTTTTTGTTTGGGTTGTTAGTTCTATGTTTGAATACATTTTTACCTTTCATGCAGAAGAAATGTGAGAAAAACAAGAAAGATCATTTAGAACTAAAAGTCCTCCACACTGTTGGCTCAACAGCATTTGTAAAGATGCAATATGATGAGGTATAAATTAACAACCTATTTTTAAGAATTTGCAATTCTTTATTTACTCTCAAATGACTGCCATATTGTCTATTTTGTGTCTTAAGATTAACAAATGTTAATGGTTCTTGTTAGAAATATTATCTTTGTCATACAAAAAAATTGATTGTGATTTTGGAACATGTTATCATTCTTTTCTTCTTCTTCTTTTTTAATTTTTTTTTAATTATTTGGTGATATATGTACTCCGTATGGTACTAACTATAAAGGTTTTGACAGCAGGACAAAAATGAAAAGGAGCCTTGAATTGTTATTTGTATCACCAAACACACAGGCAAGCATGAGTGCACAATGAAGCTAACATTAGACATGTAAGATTTTCTATGTTGTTTAAGTATTTTCATGTTCATGATTACTTGCCTAAGGAACTAGAAGTGAATCTAAAGAAAACAAATGCTATATATATATGGACAATTAGTTTTATTTTATCTTATGAACAACTGCAGATAAAACTTAAAGAGCAGGAGAATAAAGCTTTAGAAGATGGATTTGGCCCACTATTTGATAAGTAGCTTTCCATTGAGGTGTTTGAGCGTAGGTCAGGCTACATAAGTGGTTTCAAGACGTGGTTTGAAGCCTAGTACAACATTATCTGGTGCTACTCTTGAGATAGAAAATGAGGAAACTAGAAGGGAACTTGAAGAGCAAAAGAGAATCAATAAGGAATTGAATGCAAGATTGAAAAAATTGGAGCCTAATAGCGTGGAAGTCAATGCCAAGCTCGATTTAGTGTTGCAATAGATTAGCCGAGGAGGGTTTACTACTGATTTGTCATTATAGTAGTTACACGCTATCACAGTCACTTGCATTGCACTCTCAAAAACCCCATAATTAGGGAGAAATAAACCATTACAAAGGGAATCAAACTCCTATGTAACGCCCTCAAAATTAACCCATTAAATATCATCGACATGCATTATTTAAAGAAGACATTTTATTAATTCATTCATCAAAGTATTACTAAATAATCGATTAAAATGCCCTACAGGCTTACATCTTTCCAAGGCAACACTTGGATACAAAAAAAATACGAGTTCTAACTCAATACAAGAAAAGCCCTAGGCTTGAGTGTTTACATGTACTAACAAATAAAAGCAAACAACAGAAAAATAGTCTTCAGAATCCAAGTCCTTCCAAGCTAAGTCCTTGGAGGTAGCTTATCCCCTGAACCTGAAAATGATGTTCCCATAAAGGGTGAGCCACAGCCCAGTAGAAATATACTAAACCAAATATAAGCAATGAATAAAGCAATAGCATTCAACAGATGGTCAACCAAAATAATCAATTACTTCATTTTACAGTCTCACGACACTATTGCCAAAGATACGTTTTACTTTCCAATTTAATCAACATGGTTCAGAACCTGGCCAAACTTATAACAGTGAATCACATATATCATATTCACATCCTTCCAATATCAACAAACAAATGAGACTCAAGCTCAAATCAAACACTTCATACTTCCAGATTGATACACATTTTAGTGCTGTATCAACAAAACACTTCAATATAAATAAGCACACATAAAAGTGATACTAATGAGTCCATGCCCTATCTCCTCCCAAACAAAAAAAATCTGGTTTAAGAGGTTCATCCCTATCTTCCCCTAAACCGTGGAGTACATCCCTATCTCCTCCCACATCAAAACAATGTAATGCAAATGCAATGCTCAATCAATACACATATTCTCTATCAATGCAATAAATTTATGACTTAACCAATGTGGATTAGTTTCAGTTAATCCTAATCCACATGCAATGTCTACAACAATCACGACTATCCTCCACCGATAGCCCAAAACAAGTTATTTCTAAACTGAAATAACTATGTCCCACATTCAATAGACAAATGATACAAATTATCAAATTATGCCATTTAATCAATGAATCCCCATTCCATGAATTACTTATACAAATCAATTCAATAATTCAACTAGGGTTTTTTCCCAAAATTTTACCAAAGTATTCCCAACATATTAAAATACCAAAAACTTAGAACGTCACCTATAAATTGGAGTAGGACAATCCCTACCTCAGAGAAAAACAACCCAAATGGTGAAGACAGAGATGAGTGCCCAAAGACCAAAATGCTCCAAATTGCCAAATGTTCAGATTAAATGAAAGCTCTTGACTCCCTCTATCTTTTTAATAAAAGCAACTAGGTTGAAACACTCTCTAAACAATCAAACCTAAGAGAGAGGTGAGTAGGGAGAGAGAAGAGGCGAACCTGGAGTTTGGAATCAAAAGAATATGAAAAAGACTGATCAAATCCCGCTGCTGTGTATTTAAACTGGACAGGCTCGCTCGAGCGAGAGACTGGTCGCTCGAGCGGACCAGACACAGGAGAATCACGCTCGAGCCAAGGAACGCCGAGGCCAACAACCCAAAAGCTCGCTCGAGGCAGAAGAAAGCTCGATCGAGCGAAGAACTCAAACCCTCAGGTCTGAAACCAGACTCACGCTCGAGCGAATGAACTATTGCTTCGAGCGAAAGAACAAACTAACTCGCTCGAGCGAGCTAGAAAAGCTCGCTCGAGCCAAGAATGCAAAGCTACAGGTCCAACCCAGACGCAAACGCTCGCTCGAGCTACCAAACCCCGGCTCGAGCGAAGAACCAAAACAACATCTCGCTCGAGCGACAAACTCCTCGCTCGAGCGAATAACCAAAATTTTGGACAGCAATACTAGGTTTCTAAACCCAACCAACCTGAACAAACCTGCCCAACACATCCTATAATTCCAAAAGAGAAAATAAGGAACAACAACAACAACCATTATACAATGACAGAATCTACGGAACAGTCCGGATACAATAATCAAATGGGAAAAGACCGGGGTCGTTATATCCTACCTATACGATTTGAACCCGAGACCTCACACCACAAAAGGTGTTGCACAACCATTAGGCCAAATGCCCTAGTTGTTAGGTTGCATTAAATGAAAATTTATTAAAAGAACTACTATGTTTTGTATAACATTTTAACTTAATAAGTAATTTAGTAAAAGGCATGTATATGATTCTGTGATGTATAAAATGGCAACAAATCCAAATAAGAAACACATCCAACTACTTTATCTGTTATTTCATTTTCGCGCTTTCTTGATTGTTCTATCCAACCTTCTTCGTGCTCCTCCATCGTCAACTAATATAACAAAATATATGAGGTAATTAATGGGATTGAATAAATGTACAATGATTCTAGATATTCAAGTTAATTTAGCAAGTAATGATGCCTTTAGTGAATTGCATTTGATAACATACACAAAATAAATAAATAAAATAAAACAAGGTGTTATTGCCTAATTATCACATAAAAATGACCCTTTTTTCACATTGCCTTCTCCAAAATTGTCCATCAATTCATTTCTTTTGTATTAGTTAATGTTTGTATTAATTATGAATTAGTAATACCATACATGGCATGGAAAATGAGAAGGTCAGGCTTCTCTCTTTGTCTCTCTCTCTCTCTCTCTCTCTCTCTCTCTCTCTCTCTCTGTGATAATGCATTCGTCTCTCTCTCTATTAATGCATTCGTCCATTTTAGAGAACAACACCAAGAGAAAGAGAAAGAGAAAGAGAAAGAGAAAGAGAGAAATAGAGAGAGAAGCTTTACCTTCTTATTTTCTATGGCATATATGGTATTACTAATCCATCATCAATACACACGTCAACTAATACAAAAGAAATGAATTGATAGACAATTTTGGAGAAGACAATGTGAAAAAAGGGTCATTTTTATGTTATAATTAGGCAATAACATCTTGTTTTATTTTTTTTATATACTTATTTTTTGTATATTATCAATGAGATTCATTAAAAACGTTCTTGCTTGTTAAATTAACTTTGAAGATCTAGAATCATTGCACATTTATTCAATTTCATTAATTACCTCATATCTTTTTGTTACACTAGCTGACGATGGAAGAGCACGAAGAAGGTTGGATAAAACAACCAAGAAAGCGTGAAAATGAAAGAGCAGATAAAGTAGCTCGATGTGTTTCCTATTTGGATTTGTTTCCATTTTATACATCATAGAATCATATATATGCCTTTTACTAAATTACTTATTAAGTTAAAATGTTATACAATAAACAGTAGTTTTTTCAATAACTTTTTAACTAATGCAACCTAACAACTAGGGCATTTGACTTAATGGTTGTATATTACCTTTTGTGGTGTGAGGTTTCAGGTTCAACTCTGATAGATAAAAGTTTGATAGCCTTTGTGATGGTATATTTCTCCCCTATTATGAGGATTGTATGCCCAAAATTTTGTTGTACTTAAAACTCTTATACAAACATATACGGAGGACCTCGTTCTAATTTTCTTGAAAAAAATTTAAGATTTTAATGATTAATATTTATAAAATTTAGCACTAATATGTAATGATGTTTGGGGTGAAGAAGAGGTAGAGTTGTTGTGTTGTGCACCTAGTGGTGTGCTTTATGAAAGGTTCCATGAACATTCTGTGTCACGTCAGCTTTATTAGCTTCGATTATTTACAATTGGGGAAATGTTGTGGTGTGCACCTCTTTAGGGTGCAAGCCATATGCACTTTACCATAGAAATGTATAACTTTATGACAAAATTTTGTAACATCAAACACAAAATATGTAACATTGCCACAAATTGGCATAACAAAAAATATCGTAGCCAAGTCACAAAATTTTTTGCAACATCAACCACAAAAATTCTGAACATTTTTTTATGCCAGTTTGTGGGAATGTTACATATTTTATAATTGATGTTATGAAATTTAGTAGTAATATTATATATTTTTGTGACAGAGTGCATATGATTGTAGCTGGTTTTTTGTGTTCCTTGGAGGGGTTTAGTCTCCTCAGATACGATAGCCTTACAGTTCGGACTCCTATGGTTCTGAATCTGGTTTCAAAAGTGCAATGTGAAAAAAAAAAAAAAACACACACACACACACACACAAATGATAGTCAAAATTCGAAA